ACACACACACACAGACACACACACACACACACACACACACACACACACACACACACACACACACACACACACAAAACATAAAAACTCGTACTCGAATGTGAATCCTACAAAACGTAAACAATTGCATTTGCTATCTGGTGTATTCTGTACGTTTCGAAATTTAGAAAGGAACTAACATTCTATGCTGGTTTCTTTATCGTGGAATGTCAAACTTAATAGATTTGCGGATTCTTATATATAACTATATTTTTAGCTTTAAAAATTGGTCTAATTCACTATAAACAGTGCAATTAAGGAACTTATTTCAAATGCAACCCTTTAATTTCCTGTAAAAGAACCTATTTCTATTTGTGTAAAAACGATTACCTTGTAGCAAATTGGCATATTGCACCGGAAGCTTAGACCGCCATTCTCGCACTTTTCCTCTTCCCCACGCTTTGTTTTTAATTTGCTCAGGACTATTTGAGTCTTGGGGCACCGAAATCAGCAAAATGACGGACAAATTGGACATGAGCTTAGATGACATCATAAAACAGAACAGAAGAGGCAGAGGTCGAGGTAGAGGGGCCGGCAGAGGCTCTCGTGGTGGTCCCGGCGGCGGTGGTCGCGGTGGACGCGGCCAGAGCAGAGGACGTGGAAGTGGAAATGCCGGGGTCTTCAGAGGCGGCGTAAACAAACGTAGAGGTGGTGGTTCTTTCAACCAAAATCAAAGGGTGAGCATGAAGCCAATTGGAATTTAAATAACAAGTCCATGGTTCACAAAGTTAATATTTACAATAGTAAATACAACTATACAACACAAATGAATTTAACCCTCGTCCTGCCGGGGCTGGGTTTTTATGTCGCCCAATAAGTCAATAAGCCTATTTCGGCATCTCACCTGCGTTCCGGTCCCGTGTCAGTCTTGCCCCTGGCTCAGGGCACGCGCGTCGAGTATGATCTCCTGTTCAATTCGGGACCTGCGCCGGATCCTCATTCACGCAGCTCAAGTGTGTGCGTCAGTCTGCTTGAGTTTGAGTTTGTGTGCGTTTGTGTGGCCTCCTTCTTGAACCGCCTGCGTTGGTTCGTAACCAAGCATACATCTTTCAAAACACATCAAGTTGGTAGCTTTAGAGTCTAGATGTTCATCCAATGAAATTATAGAACAAATTGACCCATTTTGACATGAGGTAGACCTGCATGTTTGCCGACAATCGTCTGAAATCCGACAATCGCGACCCGACCCGCGAGCCGACCGATGCTATCGCTAGGCCCACCTAGTCAATGTGTGACGTGTGAGGCCTGGCCGTCTGCCAGCGCCCCCTTTTTCTCCCGTCGGCACTTCCGACATAATTGTCGGAACCTGAGTAGAAATACGAATATGAAGAGTACGACGACCTAAATGATCTACTTTCAGTTTCGTGCGCGAGGGGCCATTTTGAATTTCGTTTGTTTACTGATTGTTCAGATCATGTTCAGATCAAGTCCGACTCACTTGTTCCACTCTAGATCTAGATTTATAGATCATTATAGACCTCAATGGAGGATTCATATTTCCATTTCTATTGTGTCAAACCATATTATAAGTTGCTGTAATTGTAATATTAATGTTGGTAAAACGCATTTCATCAGGTGCGTGAAATATTTACTTAGAATAAAGATCTAATCTAGATCTAGATCTAGAGACTCAGCTGAGTCCCTCTGTTCGGAATTGGATGCGGATTTCTCGTTCAAGTTCAAGGCTTATTCCTATTCACTTGTTCTTCTAGATCTAGATCTAGATTTATATAACTACAGTCGAAGCTGCCCTGACGGCCACCTCTATAAGATGGCCACCTGTAAAAACGGACACTTTCCATTTCCCCCTTTGCGTTTTTTCTATATAATTTAACTGTA